CTCATTTGAACCACTAAGTGGTCCCAGATTTTTTGATACCGCGCACACTGAGTGTTAGAACCCATTCTATGCTGACAAGGCATCTCAGGCCAATCGTGCCAAATTTGAAGGCAGGAAAAATAAAACGTATATATATGTTTGGGGCACTAGCGGTAAAAACGTATACAGGTCCGCCATCACAAATCCGGCAATCAGTTATTCGGTTCCTTCAGTTATTCGGCACTAATTCTGGCTAGCAAAATTTCATATTTCCAGGGTCGCCACACCAACCTGCTGGTACTATTTGGTGGCGCTACTTGCTGCACAAGTCATTCCAATTTTTTTTTCTCCATTTATTGTTTTAACCTGCTTACTTTTAGCCCTAGCCATGGTTCCAATGAATAAAAGAAATGCTTCTCATTATGTAAAGCACCTACACAGTACATTATCCATTAAAGAAAAGGTAGCTTTGAAGCCACTGTCGGCTGCCATGAGCTCAGTCTCACGAAGCAGAAGAATATGCTTTATTATTACGCTAATATCAACACTACAGCTTATTTGCCTATCACAATTGATCTAATATGACATAAGAAACAATATAAATAACATAAAACACATTTTAAATACTCCAGAATGAATAATATTTGGCATAACACCGAGCAGTTTGACGGAGGTATGAAGAGGATATGGTATACAAATACCATTCTCCTATCCCTGTCTTGGTGGCTTATATTAGAGAAAACAGAGTATAGCACAGGGCTAACTGTGATATACACTCATACTGCACCATAAACCTGAAACAAGTTATTTTCTCTATATAGATTATCACACATAGCAGCATATGTGTAGAGAACCTAGGATAACCCAAAAAAGTCAACGTGGCTTATTTTTAGTACCTGGCTTGGGTTAGCCATATATGATTTTTGGTAAATATTCGATTCCTAGCCAGGGTAGAAACATTAGGCGTGTTTCTTTACACCTGTTATCTATGTTTACCCAACAGTAAATGGGTACCTGGGTGTTAGCCGACTAGTGTGGGTGTTATCCTGGGACACTGACCTAATTTTCTTGAAATACGCTGCATAACAAGCGGCTTTCTATACAGTAGTATGTAACTGATGTCAACTAGGCTTGTATACCTTGTACATGTACGTGTAGTAAATAAAGATATTATTATTCTTTCTTTCTTTCAACACCACCGAGGTGGGGTGGCCCAAAAGGAAAAACGAAAGTTTCTCCTTTCAAATTTAGTAATATATACAGGAGAAGGGGTTACCAGCCCCTTGCTCCCGACATTTCAGTCACCTCTTACGGCACGCATGGCTTACGGAGGAAGAATTCTGTTCCACTTCCCCATGGAGAATTATTATTATTATTATTATTATTATTAATTATATTATTATTATTTTCTCAGTTGTTTGTTGGGTTACCTTATTCAAACTTGGGCAATGTATGATGGAAAGATACTTCTTCACATACACCAAAAATGAAAGAAATCAGACCATAAATAGCGGAGTTCACTTCTCAGCCATTAGCAGCCGCTTAGCGGTATATTTTTGTACGGTTGTTATGGTTATAGTATTCTCATTTTTTCGGTCTCATTTGACAGAATGAAAGATATATTACAGAAATAGATATGATTTTGATTGCTTTCATGATGAAAAGTACCTTGAAATTGTGCTCACAGTAGTAGTAGTTCTATTCTTTAGCGAAGCTCAAGAGTAAACAAATGATGTCACCGTCCAATACCTGTCCACCTGCCAGTCCAATACGGAGTCAAGAATGGCTTGACATTATTTATACAATTACAGTGGACCCCCGGTTAACGATATTTTTTCACTCCAGAAGTATGTTCAGGTGCCAGTACTGACCGAATTTGTTCCCATAAGAAATATTGTGAAGTAGATTAGTCCATTTCAGACCCCCAAACATACACGTACAAATGCACTTACATAAATACACTTACATAATTGGTCGCATTCGGAGGTAATCGTTATGCGGGGGTCCACTGTATTACAATAATGCGGCAGTCTGCATAACAGTAAATCTTCTATTTTTTTGTGAATAAAAATTCCAAAAGCAAGAGTAATATAAGAGGGGCCTGTAGCTGTGACTAATGAACAAAGAAACTGTTATTTTAGTGCCAGGAATGTCTGCATTGTTTATTCTGGACCCTACTTTGAAATTGGCATCTGTTGAAATTTGTGTGAAATCGGCCAAACTGCCAATTTCTGACCACTTTATTGGGTAGTTGAAATAAGTGAATGGGCGGTTTCTTGTACTCAGCTGACAGACTAGAAGTAAATAAGTTTATTCAGGTATACACAAATACAGTTACATAGATTATCATACATAGCAGTGTATGTATAGAGAACCTAGGATAACCCAGAAAAGTCAGACAAACTCACTTATTTCCAGTACCTGGCTTGGGCTTGCCACATATGATTTTTGGTAAATATTTTTTTTCTTGGATGTTTGTTGGGCTATCTCATTGAAACTTGGGCAATGTATGATGGAAAGATGCTTCTTAATGTACAACAAAAATAAAAAAGACGGATGATAAATAAGGGAGTTAACTTCTTAGCCATTAGCCGCCTCTTTGCAGTATATTTTCGTATGGTTTTTATGGTTGTATTCTCATTTTTTTAGACTCATTTGATAGAATGGAAGATATATTACAGAAGTAGACATGATTTTGATTGTATTCATGATGAAAAGTACCTCGAAATTGAGCTCAAAGTAGCGGAAATGTTTGATTTTTGCCAATATTCAATGAACTGTGTAAGTCAAGTTGGTTAATTTTATTAAGTGTATTCTAACTTAACCATTCTGTAATCTGGCAAACTCAGTAATCCGGCACACTACAGGTCCCAATGATGCCGGATTTGTGATGGAAGACCTGTATATACATTTGGACCATTTACGGGTTAATACTGTTATAAAAAAAATTCTTGTCTAAAGCATAAATTTCTAGGCACATTTATGCATTTTTTTATTAGATAGGTCAAAATGACCTGAGAGCCTACAATTCTTATATGCCCTACCATTGCAAAATTGAACACTGATATGGGTTATATATAAATTCACTTTTAATTAAGTTATTCCATATTATACACTTTTAAAAAATGAACAACAGCTTTTAGTGTAAGGTTCTTTGAACCATGTAAGGAACAGAAACTTGTCTGCATAACCTCTACATAACCTGTATCTAAGACTGATCACTTTATTGTCCAGATAAAGCTTTTGTTTACTTCCTGCATGTGCACACACACACACATACACATGTACACACATGTGCTATACAGACAGCTATTCCTAATCTAAATACAAAGAAAATCCAATGTGCACATTCTTTAATCCTCTGACTGTCACAAGCCCCTTTCTGAAACTGTCATTCTATGTCACAAAATTTTTGGAAAAAAAAAAAAAAAAATTCTTATGAAATGATAGAGAATCTTTTCCCGATGGTAATGACACCAAAAGTCTGAAATTTGGTCGAAAACTCATGGAATTACGCTCCCGTGAAGTTAGCAGTCTCGGCGACATATACACATCAGCAATTTCGCCAATTTTGAGCCCTGTTTTTGGCCAATTCCTATGTTCCAGTTGACCAAACTCATAGCTATTTCTTTAGAACTCCATTTTTTTCTATCAGTTGAGTACGAGAAACCGCCCATTTACCGATTTGAGCTACCCAATAAAGTGGTCAGAAATTGGCAATTTGGCCAATTTCACGCAAATTAAAAAAGATGCCAATTTCAAAATAGGGCCCAGAATAAACAATGCAGAAATTCTTAGCACTAAAATAACATATCTTCTGTTCATTAGTCACGTCTCTATGCCCCTCTTATATTACTATTGCTTTCTATTTTGATTTTTTATTCATGCAAAAAAATACAAAATTTAGTTATGCAGACTACTGCATTATTATAAAAATGGTATAAATAATATCAGTGCACTAGTGAAAGAATATTAGACTCCCCAGTTGACGTGTGGTGTGATTTGCTTACTCCTGAACATTGGTAAAAATCGAACATTTCTGCTACTTTGAGCTCAATTTCAGTCGTTTTCATCGTGAAACTAATCAAAATCATCTCAATTTCTGTAATATATTTTCCATTCTATCATGTGAGACCATGAAAACGAGAATACAACGATAAATACCATAGGAAAATACACCTAAAATTCGGTGTTTTAATCCAAAAAAAAGTCAGTTTTTTTTCCTCATTATGCACTGCGTGCTGCAGGATATTTTTTATGTGGTGCACACTGACCACACAGACTCATTCTTTCACATGTGGGCCTACCAGCTTTCTCCTGTTTGATTTGAAGCCACTAGAATTTATGCATATTAATACGTCCGAAACACTGGCTTGTAAGACATATATACATGAATAAATAACAAAAAGGCACAATACCGTGACTGGAACGATACACAAATAACCCGCACATAAAAGACAGAAGCTTACGACGACGTTTCGGTCCGACTTTGACCATTGACAAAGTCACACTAACAGAGGAGGAGCAGGACGGCTATATATAGGCAGGAAGAGGTGGAGGTAGTAGTAGTGGTAGTAGTAGTAGTAGTAGTAGTACAAGAATTGTATATAATACCGACAGGATGAAATGACACATGCACAACACCCGGGCATCCCCACCGTAGACGTTTCGCCATCCAGCCAGTCTTTGTTGTGGACGTTTCGCCATCCAGTGGCTGGCTGGATGGCGAAACGTCTACGGTGGGGATGCCCGGGTGTTGTGCATGTGTCATTTCATCCTGTCGGTATTATATACAATTCTTGTACTACTACTACTACTACTACTACTACTACTACCACTACTACTACCTCCACCTCTTCCTGCCTATATATAGCCGTCCTGCTCCTCCTCTGTTAGTGTGACTTTGTCAATGGTCCAAGTCGGACCGAAACGTCGTCGTAAGCTTCTGTCTTTTATGTGCGGGTTATTTGTGTATATATACATGACCAAAGCAGTCAAAGGGTTAACATATCAGAACTTACCCGAGTGACAATACACTGGTGGTGAGAAACCAGGAACTCCTGAATTAAAGAGCGTTGTCCTAGAAGAATCAGTTTTCGGTTGGCAGCTTCCTTAATTAAACTAGTCATCAAGCCATTGACGCCATTACACTTTCTTCTATTAAATGTGCAAAAAATGAAAAGGAACCTTATACTATGAGAGAGCACTGTCATTATTTAAGAGATTAAGAAATATTTTTTACCTATATAAGAATATGTCTTATTTTAAATATATGCATAAATAAAAAATTTTATGAATGTTATCTGGGTCTTTTTCCTTCAACAAACCAGCCATATCCCACTGAGACAGAGTCATTTTTTTTTTTTTTAACAAACCAGCTATATCCCACCGAGGCAGGGTGACCTAAAAAGAAAAACTTAGGGTTTTCTTTTTAAATTTAGTAATTTATACAGGAGAAGAGATTACTAGCCCCTTGCTCCCAGCATTTTAGTTACCTCTTATGACACAAGGCTTATGAAGGAAGAATTCTGTTCCACTTTCCATGGAGATAAGAGGAAATAAAGAACAAGAACTGTTAAGAAAATAGGAGAAAACCCTATTATCTGGGTATCTAAAGGAATTTATACAATGAAAGGAGTGACAGGTAAATAAATGATGAAATACTGAAATACTATGACCATGCAAGTAACAATGAAGAATGCTCTGATGAAGAAATAAAAAAAAAATCTCACTCAGAACTTCCACTGCCTACCTGGCAGCACAGTATCATTTTGTGCACACACCCTTACATTTTTCTCAATATAAACTGAAATTTCAATGTAATATAAAGGAATAATTTCCTTCCTCCATAAGCTATGAGCGTCATAAGAGGAGACTAAAATGCCAGGAACAAGGGGCTAGAAAAAAAAAACTAACTTTTTTTAGGTCACCCCCCCCAAAAAAAGGAGGAGGAATAATAATCATAGGGTCTTGATCTGCAACGCCATGTACGTACTACTTACTAACGAACCTGCTGATCCACTCGTCTTTCAGAATGCAAAAACTGTACCTCTCACCATCTGAAGTCAAATCTGGTTGTTTCATAATGAGAATCCCTTTAACCCTTTCAGGGTCCAAGGCCCAAATCTGGAGTCACGCACCAGTGTCCAAGAATTTTCAAAAAAAAAAATTTGTTATTTTTTCTTATGAAATCGTAGAGAATCTTTTTGTGAAGATAATAAAACAAAAAGTACAAAATTTGGTGGAAAATTGACGAAATTATGCTCTCGCGAATTTTGATGTGTCAGCGATGTTTACGAATCGGCGATTTTGCCGACTTTGACTCCCATTTTAGGCCAATTACATTATTCCAGTCTACCAAATTCTTAGCTATTTCACTAGTATTACTTCTATTCTATCGATTGAGCACAAGAAATCGCCAAGTCAACTGTTTCAACTGCAAAATAAAGTGATCGGAAATTGTTAATTTGGCCAATTTAACACAAAGTTCAAAATATTCCAATTTCAAAATAGGGTCCAGAATAAACAATGTAGGCACTCCTGGCACTAAACTAACATTTCCTCTGTTCATTAGTTATGTTTTGAGGCTTTACAAATAAATTCCATTTTGATTTTTTATTCACATAATGAATTTTTATTCACACCAAAAAATAGAAGATTTACTGTTATGCAATACTGTAATAATTGTATAAATATCATCACCATATTTGTGAATGTATATTAGACCCACCAGCTGGCGTGTATTAGATGTGTGAGGTCGTTTGTTTACTCTTGAATATCGGCAAAAATTTAACATTTCCGCTACTTTGAGCTCAGTTTCAAGCCATTTCCAGTGCTAAAACCAATGAAAATCATCTCTATTTTTGTAATATGTCTTCCATTCTATCAAATGAGACCAAGAAATCGCAAATACAACTATAAAAAACATACGAAAAAACACTGCAAAGTTGCTGTTTTAACCCTTTGACTGTTTCCGACGTATAAATACGTCTTACGAGCCAATGTTTCTGACGTATTTATACGCATAAATTCTAGCAGCTTCAAATCAAGCAGGAGAAAGCTGGTAGGCCCACATGTGAGAGAATGGGTCTCCATGGTCAGTGTGCACCATATAAAAAAAATCGGGGAGCCAGTGGTGCATTGTGGGAATGCCATTTCAGTTGTCATTTTTCAGCATGTCTAGCGGTAAGAAATATGTGATTCCCCAGCAAATCTGGGACTCTTCTCTTCCCAAGTGATGCTCTAACACAGATGGAAGTGTCAGTGAAGATCAATTTCATGATTTGGAGGAGTTTGAGACCAAAAGCAATGGAGGAGGAGGAGGGGGAGGAGGGGAGGAAGAGGAGGAGGAGGAGGAGGGAAGGAAGAGGAGGAGGAGAGGAGGAGGAGGAGGAGGAGGAGGAGGAGGAGGAGGAGGAGGAAGAAGATGATGTAATAATATTGTTCCCTTGAAGCAAGAAAAAAAAAAAGTCCACCCCATGACAGTGACAAGATAAGGGGAGATAACATCTGATAAGAGCTGACTTTGATGAGCGTAAAGGAGGGTAATATTACATGACCATCGCCCTCCCTTTGTTTTTGCTGGTACACAAACATTTCTGTCTGTCTATTTGTCTGTCTGTCAAGCTCCCTGTCTGTCCATCTAGCTCTCTGTCTCAGAGAGAGCCACAAGACTGTGTCATCACGTTTACTCACATCTTCAAGCAGAGTATAGCACTTTGTCTGGATTTCTTGGGTTATCCTAGGTAATTTACACTATGTATACTTGTATTTATGTGTACCTGTGAGACAGAGATAGGCAGACAGATAGAAAGAGAGACAGATTGAAAGATATAGAATGAGGGAGAAAGATAATTAGATAGAATGGAGGAGGGGAAGCAGCATCCGACCCCATTGTTTTGACAGGTGGTAGGGGTAGTGACTAATGAGACAATATGTCACTTTGACAGCTGCCGACTTCTGACTCAAAACAATTATAAGCCACACACTCGCACACAAGACAAGGAGGAGGAGAAGGAGGAGGAGGAGAAGGAGAAGGAGAAGGAGAAGGAGAAGGAGAAGGAGAGGAGAAGGAGAAGGAGGAGGAGGAGGAGGAGGAGGAGGAGGAGGAGGAGAAGGAGAAGGAGGAGGAGAAGAAGGAGAAGGAGGAGGAGAAGAAGGAGGAGGAGGAGGAGAAGAAGGAGGAGAAGGAGGAGAAGGAGGAGGAGAAGGAGGAGGAGGAGAAGGAGGAGAAGGAGGAGGAGGAGGAGGAGGGAGGAGGAGAAGGAGAAGGAGAAGAGAAGGAGAAGGAGGAGGAGGAGAAGGAGGATGAGAAGGAGGAGGAGGAGGAGGAGGATGATTGTTTGTTTGTTTTTGTAAACAAGTTTTGTAAACAATATATTGATAATTATGTTTGTGTGCTTATTGTGTTGTATACAACGAGTGTATATATATACATTGCACCTTACTTTGGTCTCATAGGCCACATAAGTTATGTGAAAAAATAAAATAGTGAAAAAAACAAAAAACCTTCAATTACAAGTAAACTAAAGTTTACCGGGTGAGCGGCAGTCGCCGCTGTTGCCATACGCGGCTCATTTTCTGCAAACTTCACGGCTCTATATCTCGGTAAGTACCGATGGCAAAAAATTTTTTTTTTGGACTAAAACACTCAGAAAAATAATCTTAACATTTTCATAAGAAAAAATAATTTTTTTTTTTTTTAATATTTGGCGACATAGAATGACAGTTTCAGAGAGGGGCCTGAAACAGTCAAAGGGTTAATCGAAAAATCATGATTTCAGTTTTTTTCTCTCATTATACACAGTGTGCTGCAGGATCTGTTTTATGTGGTGCACACATACCACATAGATGTATTCTCTCATATCTAGGCCCAAATGTACCACTCACAGTTTATCAGAGTGAGCTGAGCTCATGGCGTAGATCTACGGTTTGGACACTCACCATAAAGCCGTAGATCTACGGGACGGACCCTGAAAGGGTTAAAGATGTTACCTTGCTCTCACTCCAACACTATCACTATAATTATAAGAGTAGAAAATGTACAATTCTTCTTCCTCTGCTGTTATATTCATCATACACTAATGTAAAATTTTAACCTTATTTGAAAGGCATGCAGGGTCATTTGAATAAAATGTTCCCTTACACAATATACGTATAAAGTGACTGTATCAGATGAGGTTTGAATGCATTACTGTTGTATTTCAACATATTAATAAGAAAGGAAAGGGAGTATTCAAGATAATATATACTTTAATAGAAATACAGCAGCTGAAAACAAAGTTAAAGCAAGTGTTCACAACTAATGGTTCATAGACTCCTTGAGGGTACATGGAATGTTTTAAGGAAGCCTATGAACAGGGAGCAAAAATTAATTTTTGCCTTGGGTTCCTTCCTCTCACAGTAGGCATCATACATACATCATAGGAGTGAGTAGAGACGACACTTTAAAGACTATTTACTGTTAACCCTTTCAGGGTTTCTGACGTACTAGTATGGCTTATGCACCAGGGTTTTTGACGTACTAGTACGCTTAAATTCTAGCGCCCTCAAATCTAGTGAGAGAGAGCTGGTAGGCCTACATATGAAAGAATGGGTCTATGTGGTCAGTGTGCGCGGTATAAAAAAAATCCTGCAGCACACAGTGCGTAATGAGAAAAAAAAAACTTTGACAGTGTTTTTGGTTTAACCCTTTGACTGTCGAAGGGCCCAAACCTGAAGTGTCTCCTGGTGTCACAAAATATTTGAAAAAAAAAAAAAAAAAAAAAAAAATCTTATGAAAATGTTAAGATTATTTTTCTGATTGTTTTAGTCCCAAAAAAAAAATTTTCCCGTCAGTACTTACCGAGATATAGAGTCCTGAAGTTTGCTGAAATTGATCTGCTAGCGGCAACAGCGGCGACTGCCGCTCACCCGGTAACCTTTGATTTACAGTGGACCCCCGCATAACGATGGCATCACATAGCGATTATTTCGCATACCGCTTACTTTAATTGCAAAAATTTTGCCTCGCATACCGCTTAAAAACCCGCTTACCGATTTTCGTCCGAGACGCTTCCAATGTGCGGCCTGAGCCACGCTCACATGTTCCGCCGGTGGCATTGTTTACCAGCCAGCCTCCGCAATAACATCCAAGCATACAATCGGAATATTTCGTA